AAAACAAAACAAAACAAAACAAAACAAAACAAAACAAAACAAAACAAGACTAGAATGCTTGGCGCAGCTTTTGCTGTCAGGTGGTCCCAGCGGGCTTCTTCAAACTGCCCCTCACCCTGTGTTTTGTATAGCTAAGGAGACAGAGGTTGAGAGAGGCCAAGGGTTCTGCCCGGGGTCACGTATTAGGGTGGGAGCTCCCTGGCCCTGGGGTTCCTGGGCTGGATGAAGGGCTTGTTGCTGCCGTGGAGGGGCGTTTTGCTATGATGGGCCTTCCTACAGGCTTCCAGGCCACCTTTTGGCTGTGTGGCTGGCCCAGCTAGGTCGGCGTGTGCGGTGGGGCCTGGGGAGGGGCTGCTGGTGCAGCATTCACAACAGCATCTCACAGCCAATCTGTTTGCTCAGGGCCTCTGCCTGGCGTCGGGGTCCAGGGACAGAGTGGCAAGGATTCTGCAGTTTTCATCCATCCCCTCCTGAGTGTGAGTTGTGGGTCCCCTGTGACCTGGGGGCTCAGGAAGCCTGCAAAATACTTGTGAAATTGGAAAGGGGCAGCACAATTGGGGGTGGAGCCCTGGGCAGTGAGGGCCAGTGGGGCCCTGCTCTGTCTCGATTAGTCTTGCAGCCTGTATCTCCTCCACTGCACCCCGAGTTTCCCACTCGCTTGTTGAGGGGTTGAGTGGATGCCTGAAGGCCTGACACTGGGCTGCAGGACTGTGCCTTCTTTGTCTCTCACATCCTTGTAAGACTTCCAGGCAACAGTCTGAGCAAACCAAGGAGAGCCCTAGCCCTTTTTCTTACTTCTCTGAGGACAAAATTTGTAGGCCAAGGGGAAACCCAATTACTGTGCCCTTTTGTCTCTTTTGAATTACTTCCTAATCTATCTATTAAAAAACAACCTCAAGCAGGATCCTGAATAAATGGGCTTTAAGCAAGGGAATTATCGATGTGATTCATTCTCCCTCAGGGCAGATGTGCAATTTATCTTTCAGCAAAGCACACAGTGACTTAACAAATTGAGCCTAAGAACAATGGCCATCAGCCCGACCATCCCCAGGAGAAAGAATCAGCATTCTGAGTCAGTGCCGGGGCTCTGACCCCATTAGGGCCTTCTCTGGGGGAGCTCCTATAATGGTGACATCTTAACTAAATTGGGCCCCGAGAGCGGGCAGGCCTGGTAAGGGGGCACAGGGCACAGCCAGGGGCTGAGCAGAGCTGGGCAGGGGACGAACCCCTCCTTCCCTCCTTCCCTCCTTCTCCTGGAGCCAGGAGGGGCTGCGCCTCAGGAGCCTGTGCAGGTTGGCCCAACCTCTCCCATCTCCCTCACTTCACCCCCCCCTCACCCAGTCGCCTTCCAGATTGCTGCCAGGAGGATGCCTCCCCACCCCTGCACACCCCCCCCCCCCCCCCCCCCCTCTGGGTGGGCCCCCCCCTGTTTTTGCATTGCCCTCTGTACAGTTGAGGGGGCTGAAGGGATGGGGGGGCAGGGTGGGGTAGGGGTCAAGGGGTAGCATTCTAGAGGTGGGCACTACGTGGCCCTTGGCCCCATGGCAGCTGCTGCCCTACTCCACACCCCCCGAATCACAGGCTGGAACAGGGCCAGGGACGTGGGACTGAACCCATTTTTCTTTTTTCTTTCCAGAGATGGCAGTAATTGTTCCTCCCCAGCCTGATGTGGGAGAAGGCTGAGTTTTGCTCTGGACTTGTCTGCACACTCCTGGCCTTCGCCCCTCACCCGGGACAGGCCTGGTCAGGTCTGCCAGGCCCCGGGAGCTTTGCTTGCTGGCCCAGGGCCTCACCCAGTGCACGCTGCTCTGCCCTGGGCCCTGCTTTCCTGAGGCCCAGCAGCCAGGGGCCTGTGGTACTACCAGCTGAATTCCAAGTAAACTTTCCCAGAATCACAGAATCTCTTGGAAACGGAACCCCTTGGCAATGCAAAGCATTCTCAGAACCAAGGAATTACAGAAAAATAGAACCTCAAGTTTGGAAAAGATTCTTCAGGTAATCTACCTTCTTTCCAGCACAGTGGCCTCATCTGCCTTCTTGTCTCCTGCTGTCTCCTTGAAAGGAAGCTTGTCCTTGTGGGAGATCTTCCCAGTGCCTCTCTCCTCCCTGGATCCGTGGGTGTCTCCACTTTGCAGTTCCTTTGCAGTTCCCAGCATCTGCGACCTGTGAAACACTAGCAAAAGCAAAGTGTGTGGGATTCTGTGTGGAGGCTGGGAAAAGCCCTGTATTGCTCTCTGTGTCTTTCTTCCTGCAGCATTGATGCAGACAGGTTTGTGTTGAGATGACAGAACCGCGATCAGAGCCACCAGGGTCATCAAGACTTTGTGTAGAGGACAGTGCCCTGGAGACGCCTGAGCTACAGCAGACTTTGCGTGAAGGAGAGATAAACTTGGTGAGATTTGGGGGCCATTTGCTACCCCAGTATAACGTAGCCTGTCCTAGCTGTGGTGTTGTGATTTATAATAAGAAGTATATGTATTTGATCTTCGTCCCTGTTTCTGGCACAGAGTCCCCAAATTCCTTGGAATTTCCTAAGTGGTTTGAGCCCTAAAGATGTCTTTTGTTGTGTTGATGAGGTGACTTTTGGGCCACACCTAGGATTAGGGGCTGGTTGCCAGTGGAGCCAACCTGAATACAGGACTGAGACTTTCAGTCCTATCCTCCAGCCTTCTGGGTGGAGGGAAGGACTTGAGATTGAGGTCAGTCACTAATGGCCAATGATGTAATCAATAAGGCCTATGTAATGAAGCCTCCATAACCGGGCCCCCCCCCCCCCCACGGCAAATGGGGTTCAGAGAGCTTATGAGTTGGTGAACACATGGAGGTTCAGGGAGAGTGGCACTCTTGGAGAGCCTGGTGCCTCTGTACCCCTCCCCCACCCATGCCCTATGCATCTTTTCCATTTGGCTGTTCCTGAGTTATATCCTTTTGTAATAAACAGGTGATCTAGTAAGTAAAATGTTTGAGTTCTGTGAGCCACTCTCCCGGATTAATTGGACACGAAGAGGGGGTCATTGAAACCTCAAATCTATAGCTTGTCAGTCAGAAGCATAGGTGACAACGTGGGGTGGCAGCTGGTGTCTGAAGGTGCGGTGGGCGCAGTCCTGTAGGGCTGAGCCCTACACGTGGAATCCGATCCTGTCTTCGGGTAGATAGTATCAGAATTGAGCAGACTTGCAGGACACCCAACTGGTATCCGAGCATTGTTTGTTCGTGGTAGGGAAAATCTACCCTACTTCGGAAGTGGTACCTAGCCTGTGTTCCAAACTTCCCGGAACAGGAATTCACCATGACCATGGATTTTGGGTTCATTGCTGAGCAGCTGTCAGGTGGAGAATTCCTTTTTCCCCCAAACTGAAATCTGTTTCCTCAAAGCTCCCTGGTTGCCCACCCCAAGTAGGTGAAATCCATCTTGACAGTTTCTTGTAGTCCTTTGGGGCTCTCTTTTCTCCCTATGCCAGTGACTCCCGCTCTTTAATGTGAATCATTTGGAGGGCTTATTAAAGTGTGGTTTCGGGGCGCCTGGGTGGCACAGTCGGTTAAGCGTCCGACTTCAGCCAGGTCACGATCTTGCGGTCAGTGAGTTCGAGCCCCGCGTCGGGCTCTGGGCTGATGGCTCAGAGCCTGGAGCCTGTTTCCGATTCTGTGTCTCCCTCTCTCTCTGCCCCTCCCCCGTTCATGCTCTGTCTCTCTCTGTCCCAAAAATAAATAAAAAACGTTGAAAAAAAAATTAAAAAAAAATAAATAAAGTGTGGTTTCCTGGGCTCCACCCCCAGTTTCTGATTCAGTAGGTTTGGGGCAGGACCTGGGAATTTGCATTTTTAAATTTTTTTAATGCATTTATTTAGACAGAGAGACAGAGCACAAGTGGGGAGGGGCAGAGAGAGAAGGAGACACAGAATCCGAAGCAGGCTCCAGGCTCCGAGCTGTCAGCAACAGAGCCCGACGCAGGGCTCGAACTCACAAACCACAAGATTGTGACCTGAGCCGAAGTCTGATGCTTAACTGACTGAGCCACCCAGGTGCCCCAAGGAATTTGCATTTAAAAAAAAAAATTTTTTTTTCAACGTTTATTTATTTGCACTTTTAATAAATTCCCAGGACTGTTGCTGCTGGTGGTCTGGGGACCACACTTTGAGAATAACTCTCTGGGCCTTCTGTTAGATCTCCCCAGGAGCTTGCCAGCCCATATTGGTCATGGCTGCAGACGTACCCTGCCACACCCTGCAAAATTAGAGCCCTCTACTTTGATCCTCCCCTATTGGGCTGGAATGGTCCGAGCCTGGTTCTGTCCTTTCTTTGAGCTGTGTGACTTCCTGGGCAGGGCTCATGGTATATTCATATCTATGGCCCTCAACCTGACACCAGCCAGTCACAGCAGTCAGTAGGCGCTCAGTGAACACTTACTGAGTGGATGAAATGCATTATATTCACCTCTGAAATCTCTCACTAATCTTCAGGCTCTTTGTACAGAACCCCCCCCCCCCCCCCCCGCCGCCATGGAATTCAAACTGCCCGCCCTGTAGACATTGGGGTCCCTGCCAGCTTATAGGTGTGTTGAAGAGGGAATGGTGGGTAGGGAGTGTGTACCAAGATGTCTTTTAGTAGAAGAATGGAAACATAAACTGTGATCCATCCAGACAATGGAATACTCTTCAACACTAAAAAGACATGAGCTATCAAGTCATGAAAAGACATGGCAGAACCCTAAGTGCATATTATCAAGTGAAAAAAAATCTGAAAAGGCTGTATACTGTATGATTCCAACTCTGTGACATTCTGGAATGGAAAAACCGTGGAGACAGTAAAAAGATCAGTGGTTGCCAGTGTTTGGGATGGAGATGCAATGAATAGGCAAAGCACAGAGGATTTTTAGGGCAGCAAAAATACTGTGTATGATACTGTAATAGTGGATACATGTCATTATACATCTGTCAAAACCCATAGAATGTACAACACCAAGAGTGAACCCTGGACTTTGGGTGGTAATGATGTGTCATCAGTTGTAACCAATGGGTCATTCTGGTGGAGGACATTGGTGGTGGGGAGGCTGTACCTGTCTGTGTGGGGGCAAGGGTGCATGAGAACTCTGCACCTTCCTCTTAATTTTGCTATGAATCTAAGGCTGCTCTAAAAAATAGTCTATGAAAAGAAAGAAGAGGGAGTGTGCCTCATCCTCTCTCCAGAAGCTCTAATCCTAGGGCCTGGTGGGGGATGCCCTAGCTATTCCTGTAAAGTCTCAGCTTGGCAAGCCTGCTCCTGCCGTGGGATCTGCAGATGACTTTCCCCATGCTCACGCAGGCCAATTCTGACCTTGGAGAAGTATTGGGCTGTCTCAACTTTTGCGAACACAGACAGGCTAGCTCATGCTTGGCTGCTTTGCAGATGGTGTGGGCTGTGACTTTCTGGGGGGCCTGCTGGGCCAGATCTTTAGTTTCTCTGTCCCACATCGATGCACTAAGTCTTAGGGCGCCACCTCCTGTATCATGTGCCTTGGTGGGGCTCATGGAAACAAGGCGGTCAAAGCTGAGGACCATGATTCCACTCCTGCTGGGTGCCAGCTCTCAGAGAGCCCTGGATGGGCTGAATGACGAACAGCCTGTCAAACTTGGCTCCTGAGGATGGAAAGCTCTGAGGCTGACTCTGGGGCGTCCCATTCTGTCCCCAGGAGAGTGCTGACCTTGCTGGAAGTTAGTGAAACCCTAACCCAGCTCCATAGTTCTGGAAACCAGGCCCATCGTGGAGGGACCCTTCCAAATTCCAAATGCTTACTTATGATTTGTAGAGAAATAGGCAACCATATCCAGAGGCTTCTCTTTGGTCAGCACTGCTCTCTCAGGTTGGGTTCTCACTGTGGTGGGTGACAGATGCTGACCCCAGGCTCTATGTGTTCAGCTCCAGCTTTGTTCTTTCCTCTCACCCTCCACTTCCTCCTCCTTCTCCTCTCCTTTCTATTTTAAAATGTTTATTCTGAAAACAGTTAAACATGGGAAAATTGAGAGAGTGCTATAATAGACCTCTCATACCTAGTATCTAAATGTAACAGCTATTCACATTTTGCTATATTTGCTTCATCTATGTCTTGCTTAAGTATTTTGTTTGTTTGTTTGTTTGTTTGTTTGTTTTTAAGTATGCTCCATGGCCAGAGTGGAGCTCAATGCAAAGCTTGAGCTCCCAGTCCTGAGATCAAGACCTGAGCTGACATAACAGAAGCTTAACTAACTGAGCCACCGGGTGCCCCTTGCTTAAGTATTTTATTTTTTTTAATGTTTATTTCTGAGAGAGAAGAGAGAGAGAGAGAGAGATGGAGTATGAGCAGAAGAGAGGCAGAGAGAGAGGCAGACACAGAATCTGACACTGGCTCCAGGCTCCGTGCTGTCAACACAGAGCCCGACGCAGGGCTGGAACCCACGAACCGCGAGATCATGACCTGAGCTGAAGTTGGACACTTAACCGACTGAGCCACCCAGGTGCCCCTACTCAAGTATTTTAAAGCAAACTACTGACATGTATCTTGCCCTGAATACATCAGTCAGCATCTCTAAAAAAATAAGAGGAGTTTTCTACATAACCAAAATATCATTGGTGCACCCATAGAAATGAGCAATTCTCTAATATCACCTGACAGTCTGTTTTCAAATTTCTGCAATTGTCACAAAAATGTCTTTTGTGGTTGGTTTGCTTAAACCAGAATTCAAGTGGGTCCACGAGATGCATTAGGTCATTATGTCTCTTGGGTCTCTTTTAAACTGGGACTATACCATCCTTCCTGCAGTATAGACAGGTTGAAGAAACCAGGTCCAGTTGCGCAGATCATACCCAGTCTCCACACCTGTGGTTTCCCAGGCAGGGGTGGCGGGAGAGGGGCCCTGCTTCTTCGCTAGTGGGCCCTGGGAGTCCCTGCAGGCATCTTACTGAGGAGGAGGAGGAACCGGATTGCTCGTGGCTCGAAGTGTTTCTGCTTTGAAGCCCAGAAGCTTGGAGAAGCTGTCCCTCCTTTGGGAGCCACTGTGACAAGCAGAGGGTCTGGGGGGGATGGCCCAGCATGAGAATAAAGGCTTTAAGACACTTATGGTCACAGCAATCCCCTCAGGGAGGGAAGAATCACATAGAGTCTCTGGGAAGGACCCTTTGAAGATGAAGGTCAATGACTCAAAGCTTGTCAGGGCCAGGCGCTCTGGTATCTCTGATCCCTCCGTGAGGGTGGGGCCTGGCCAGGGCCCAGCAGCCTTCTGCCCACACACTGTCCCCTTTGATGGGGTGCTGACCGTGCCCTTCACCTCTCTCAGGGTCCACTCCCCCAGAGCAGCTTTTCTTCTGTCTCCAGTGATGCAGCAGCTGTTGTCATTCACGCACAGCTGCTGTGGCAGCAGCTGTGACGTTGTCCAGAGCCCTTCCCGCTGTCTTGTGCCCTGGTCCTGCCTGTCCCAGCTCTCTGGGTGGCTGCAGGTCTGTGGAGCACATTCACTACAAACAAACAACTTCTGAGAGCAGTGTGGCTCCCTCACCGTGAGAGGCTAGGCATGACCTGCCCAGGTGTAAGTTCAGGAGGAATTTGTAAATCAATTGTGTACATGAGGAGATAGCATTTCCCCCTCATTAGATGGGAAAAATTACTACCCCTCCCTCCCCAAGTTTATTTATTTTGGGAGAGAGAGAGTGGATGCACATTTATTTTGAGAGAGAGAGAGGCAGAGAGAGAATCCCAATGCAGGGTTTGATCCCTCGAATCGTGAGATCATGACCTGAGCCGAAATCAAGAGCTGGATTCTCAACCGACTGAGCCACCCAGGTGCCCTGGGAAAAATTACCTTAAAAGTTGATAATATTGGGGCACCAGGGTGGCTCAGTCCGTTAAACATGTGACTTCGGCTTAGATCATGATCTCACGGTTCATGAGTTTGAGCCCCACAACGGACTCTGTGCTGACGTTTCAGAGCCTGGAGCCTGCTTCAGATTCTGTGTCTCCCTCTGTCTCTGCCCTTCCCCCTCTCATGCACACTGTCTGTCTGTCTCTCTCTCAAAAATAAATAAATAAACATTAAAAAAAAGTTGATCATGTCCATTGTTGCCAAGGGTGTGGGGAACAGTCTCTTGTTCTCTTGGTAGAATATAAATTGTTTTGGAAAATAAATTAGCAATATCTATCAATAATGAAAATGTACATGGTTTTTCATTCATTCTTTCCTTCAACAAATGTTTGTTGAGTCCCTACTATGAGCCAGACACTATTCCAGGTGTTGGGAATATAGCAGTAAATCAGACACATGAAGTGTCTCCTACCATGAAACTTATATTTTGGTGGGAAAAACAGATAATACACAAATAAGTCCACACTGTAATTAATAGTGAGTGGCTTTGAGTAAAAATAGGAGGGCAAGGAGATTGAATGTGGGTGAGTTGTGGCTCTTTCAATCCTTTGGCCCAGGAATTCCATTCCTAGGAAACACAGAAATGCTTACACTTGTACACAAAGAGATACAAGCACAAATGTTCAT